GCTGCTAGGAGGCTGACTCCGAGCGTGCCCTCCTCGCTGCCTGCACACGCCGCCTCGCCGGCGCTGCTGCCGAGCAGCCTGCCAGGAGGCTCACTCCGAGCGTGCCCGTTTGCGTACTGCTGCCACCGTTGCCCGCTTTAGACGAGCGCGTTCCACTTGACTAGGGCGCCGCAGTCTGCCTGAGAGAGTATCCCTCCCCTGCGAAGGTGTGGCGCACAACTCCTTCGACAGGTAATCAGAGCAAGACCCATCTTCTGTTGAGGGAGGCTGGCCACTTTTCTAGCCCCGAAACGTGAGGCACTGAGGAGGATGTAACGAACTGGACACCGCTCCCAGAGCGAAAGCAGTGGACAGTCGTCATCGAGCGCCGACGCTCGAGGATCGAAACTTCGAGGCTCATGAGCCTGGTCGCGCCTCTTTGGGGGACCAGAGGTCTTCAGAGGCACAAATAAGAGGGACCTGCGAAGATCTCCAGAGGCCTCTGGAGACGCTTGTCGTCATCGTCGTCGTCGTCGCTGCCATCACAGAGCCAGCAGCAGGAATGAGAGGGCTAGGAGGATGGCGCGAGGAGGATCAGGTGGTCTTCCGAACTATACGATTCGGAGAGCGGTTAACGATTATGTAGGTCTCCATCAACGTCCTACTCTTTCCGACCGACTCCGAAGATTTAGGGGAGGGACCGGAGGTGAGGAAGCAGGTCAGGATGCAGATGAGGAGGAAGAAGAGGATACGCCACAACGCCTCCACCAAATTCAACAGCCCTGCCAAGCCACTGCCACAGCAGGAAGCATCAAGCGCCTCCTCGGCACAGCTATGACAAATCGTCCTCCACTTCTAAATTATTGCTGAACAACACCAAGTCCGATCACTTGGTCATCCACTCCGCATACTGGTTCTCTATCTGCTTGTTCACTGCCTTCTGACCATTGCTAGAAACCCTGCCAAGGAAAAACTCCGCCACTCTCTTAACGAAGACATCTGGCATAGGAAACCACCACGGCAAACAAAAACTAGCAGTCGCAGTGCTTTTGTTCACAACCTTCAACCCTCCAGTGCCGCTCCCCTTCCAGAGTACGACGTTCCGGGTCTCAAACGTCAGCTTGGTCTCCGGCTTGTAGGCAACGGCCCCAGTGCTCTTGTCGACGATGCCGACCCACATTTCGAGGATCTTCACGTCCGCCTCCTGGGCCTCGGGCACGACTTGCATGACCATCCGCATCTGTGTCCGCACGGGTCCGACGTCGATCTGGCGACGCAGAGACGGCGGGGCCTCGAACACGACGACGCGGCCACCTCGCGCGGCGGCCTGCGCAGGCCGACGCGGCCCCGCCCGCCGCGCGGAAGATGCGGGCGCCCGCGCGCGACCCTGCGCGGGCAGCTCGCGCGCGAACGTCCGCGGTCGTCGGCTCCCGCTTCCCTGCGGCGCCCGCTCGGCTCCAGGTAGACGTACTTGACGGACGGATCCTCCCCCGGCTTGGGCTCAACCCTCTCCACGCCCTGTATGCAAACGGCCTCTGGAGGCCTCCTGGATGGGGCCCGAGCAGCTGGCGCCGGAAGGTTGCACCACATCGCCGATGCATCTGTCGCCAGTGTGTCGCCGATGCATCGCCGATGCATCGGCGACGTCGGCGGTGCATCGGCGACGCCAGCACGGAGAAAGTCGGGCTCCACATCGACCCGCATCGCCGATGCGTCGGCGATGCGTCGAGATGCTTCGACCCCAGCTACTCGGACACCATCTGGGAAGTCTAATTGCGGGAGGAGGAGGAGGAGGAGGAGGAGGAGGAGGAGGAGGGGGAGGAGGTAGGCCAGGGGGAGGGGAGCAGGTGGGGAGGGGGAGGAGGAGGAGGAGGAGGAGGAGGAGGAGGAGGAGGAGGAGGAGGAGGAGGAGGAGGAGGAGGACGTGGACGAGGAGGAGGAGGAGGAGGAGGAGGAAGTCTGGAGCCTCGGCGTTATCCTTCATAAAGGCATCCATGGAGGCCACGTCGCCCTCCGGAAGGTCCGTCTCCAAGGCGCCCTCGTACTCGATGCGCACTTCCCGAGGGCCTCCCGCCGTCGGCGCGTCGGCTGGCGGCGCGCAGGCAGGGGCAGGGCCTTCTCAGCGGGTGTTCGCGATCCGCCCTTGGTCAGTCTTTCTACTCGTGAGCGGTCCAGTCCTCGAGCCGAGCTCTATGCGCTCCTGGTGGTAAGCTCTCATGCATGCGGTGATCTAGTGTGCTATTCTGATTGCTCTGGGGGAAGCGGGTAGGCAAACGCGAGCTCAATGACGAGCCGCAGAAGGCACCGATGCACCACAGCATGCCTGGCCAGGGCCACCCTGTGGAACTGGCATGATGTGCGCGCCGTCCTGGCCGAGGCCAAGAGGGTCTACAAACCACTCTGGCGCCCAGGATGGCCCTGGCCAGTCACGGCTGTGTGCCGACGCCCTCTGCGGAATAAAAACAATGTTCCCTGCACCTCCTTCTTGCAGACTGCAGGCACTGCAGGAGGGCTCGATGCAGACAAAACATCATGAACAGAAACTTTCGGAGCCCCGCGCGGATTGGACCGGCGCTGGGCCGACCTGGCGGCGCCTCCGCCCTGGCGCGCGGAGCGCGGCAGGGAGAGGGGTCCAGCGCCGATCCAAGAGCTCCGCGCGGAGCTCCGAAAGCTCTCTGTTGATGCAAGTTTGTCTTGTCGACCCGTGTGGAAGGCCGCCACCACCCCCGACCGTGCCCCGCCGCTTGCGCGCCGCCGAGTCGGAGGTGCCAGCCGCCGCTCTCAGCCCCGTCCTCCCGGGACCTCCGCGACGACCCGAGCGCTGCCGGGCAGACCCACGGGATCGGGGGGCGTCCATAGAGGCCTCCTGGGTGGGGTCAATGTCGATGGGGTCGGAGGATCGCGCCACATCGCCGATACAACGGCGATGCATCGGCGATGCACCAGCGATTCGTCGACGTCGGCGATGCATCGGCGACGTCGACGTGAAGCAAACCGGGCTGCACATCGAGCCGCATCAGCGATGCATCGGCGATGCGGCGCGATCCTCCGATCCCATCTACTCGGACCCCATCCGGGAGGCCCAGAGCCCAAGAGGGAGGGGGCAGCAAACCATGGACGAAGGCACGCGCGCGGACGAAGGGGGGGGGGGAGGGCACGCACGGAAAGAAAGAGAGGGGGCCCTGAGGATCGGGGAGACGCCGTTGCCACAGCCACGATGTCCACACGCCTCCCCCGGAGCCCTCACCCTCCTCTCTGCCGCCCCGGGCGGGAGCTATATTGAAGGGACCCTGGGACACACAAATGAATACTCACAAATAAAAAGATTCCCCGTATTTTCCTAAAGTTTCTGGGTTTTTGTCTTCTCCCCCACTTCCCATATGTTCCCATATTTTCTGGAGAATCGAGGATTAATTGTGTCTGTGTTTTTTGGTTCCCTCCTCAGCTATATCCTCGACGCCTTCCCCCTCAGCCCCGAGCGGCTGCTCGGCTGCCTCCCCGGCCATGCAATTGTTCGGCCCCCGGCAGGTACCGCGCCCCGATCTCCGGCGGCGTGGCCTCTGCAGCTGCAGGCGCTGAAAAAAGTGTCCTCCCTCTCGGCCCTCCGGGGCCCGCCGCTGGGACCGCCGAGCCCTCTTCAGGGCAGAGCACTGCCCCTGGGGCAGAGCACTGCCCTCTCTAGGGCCGAGAACTCTTTAGGGCCGAGTCCTCTGGGCCCGCCCTGGGGCAGAGCACTGCCCCCCCCCCGGAGGAGGTCGAGACCTCCATTCGGGCCGCGGACGGAACAAAAACAGGTCGGCAGGATGTCTGGGGAGGTGGCGCATCCTCCACGCCACCTTCCCGGGCATGCGCCAGCAGGAATCTCGGGGGGGAGCTCCGAGAGCGCACAGCATATATCGCCTCCAAACAACCGGGTGAACACGAACGGCCGGATGTCCGCGCGTTTTTTTCTGGGCCGGCGCTGGATCTCCCTTCCCCGGAGGTCGCAAGATGCTGCGGTGGCAGACCGTGCGGTGACCTCGGATCCCTCGGGTCCTCACCGCTCGGTGCGTCACCTCACGGTCTTGGGGCCTTGGAGGCCCCAGTCGCACAAGACGTCCTCTGAGGACGACCCCCAAACCCGAATCCCCGCTGCTCATCACCGGTACCTCTACTCCCCGGACCTCTCCAGTGGTGCGTTCTGGCCAGGATTTCGAGGCGAATCCAGCCGTGGCGACGATGGCCTCCCAGGAGGCCCGAAGAGGGGGCCCACAAACTGGGCTCACAAACGCCTTGGGCTGCCACTCCCTTTGCTGTCTAGCAGAGGAGAACACGGCATAAACAGAAACTGTTGGCGCTCCGCGCGGATTTCTTGGATCTGCGCTGGGCCTATCTCTCTGGCGCGCGGAGCTGGAGGCGCCGCCGGGGGGGCCCAGCGCGGATCCCAGAACTCCACGCGGAGCGCCCACAGTTTATGTTTATGGCGCTTTCTCTTCTTCGACAGTCGGCGAGCGAGGCTCTCTCTGGTCATTAACCAAATTAGAACCCCTAACCATTTGGGAGGGGACCTAAGTTATGAGGACCAAAAACATATGGGATGAGGGGTCTTCTCTGCAGATGTATCAGAACAGAAAGCCCAGCTCTATGATCCCCGAGGCAGAGACGAGGACCTTATATTGAGGCCACGCCGTCATCGTGTCATCAGGGCTAAGGGCTCTTTTATCCTCACTAATCTGCACCGCCCACCCCAGACCCAACGTCGACCCCCAGAGGTCTCGACCCCTTTCCCAGAACCGGCTTCTCATCCTGAGTCGTTTCTTGACGGCCCCGAGGCCCGGTGGAGGAGGAGGAGGAGGAGAAGGAGGAGGAGGAGGAGGAGGAGGAGGAGGAGGAGGAGAGGAGGAGGAGGAGGAGGAGGAGGAGGAGGAGGAGGAGGAGGAGGAGGAGGAGGAGGAGGAGAGGAGGAGGAGGAGGAGGAGGAGGAGGAGGAGGGAGGAGGAGGAGGAGGAGGAGGAGGAGGAGGGGAGGAGGAGGAGGAGGAGGAGGAGGAGGAGGAAGGAGGAGGAGGAGGAGGAGGAGGAGAGAGGAGGAGGAGGAGGAGGCGGATAAGAGAGGGGGAGTGGAGGAGGAGGAGGAGGAGGAGGCTAGGAGGGGAGGAGGAGGAGGGAGGAGGAGGAGGAGGAGGAGGAGGAGGAGGAGGAGGAGAAGGGGGAGGAGGAGGAGGAGGAGGGAGGAGAGGAGGAGGAGGCAGGGAGGAGGAGGAGGAGGAGGAGGAGGAGGAGGGGAGGAGGGCCCCCCGAGGCCCGAGAATCGCGAAACACCTCCCGCTGCGGTGCTCCACGCCTCCAGGGGGCCCGGGCCTGCCGACCACATCGGTACCGACCCGGCTGCCCGCGGGCCGCCCGAAAGTCCCGGCCGGGGCTGCCGCCGCGCGGCCTCCGCGCGGCCGCCGCCGCGCCCGCGCCGGCGCGCCGCCGCGGCCGCGGCGCCCACCGCCACGCCTGCCCGAGGCCGGGAGGCGGGCCCCAGCACCACAGCTCCCAGAGGGAGGCCTCCCGATGGGGTCGGGGGCTCCCAGAGCAGAGGCCTCGCAGATGAGAGGCCTCCCAGGTACGAGGCCTCCTAGATAGAGGCCTCCTGGAGTTAGGTCGGGCATGTCCTCCTGCAGGCGGAGTTCGGAAGGCAAAGGAGGGACAGTCAAAGGAGATTCAAAAATAGTCAAAAAATAGTCCAGGCATCGTCCCCCCTTATATGTTTGACTATGTTTGATAAAAGCCTCCTGGATGGCTGCCTCTGCTTGGGGGAAGCTGCTACTAGATCTGTTGGTGTCGATGAGACTCTTTCGGCCACCCAGGAAGCATCGGGCATCGGGAAGACTCCATAGTACCACGATCACCGAGATCGGTCACGAGCGGCGAACAGCGCCCTCGCGGTCTGGACTCCGGGGCGCCATGGGTCAAAAAGTCACGCCGCCTCGTCGACGCATCACCGAAGTATTGGTAATGCACCAGCGACGTCGGTGATGCATCGACGCCGTCGGCGTGGCGCCGGTGGTACTCTCCCTCCCGGCCACCCAGGAAGCCCTAACAGAACCACCATCACCGAGATCGGACGCGCGATGCCCTGATCTGTTCAGCACAGAGTCCCCGAAGTTACGACACCTTCCCCAAGACCGAGGCTTCCTCCTGAGTCGTCATTTGACGGCCCCGTGGCTTGGGAAGGGCCCCCCGAGGCCGAAACTTCAGAAAAAGTTCCGTCCTGATTTTTTTCAAGACGTTGCGCGTCTGAGTCGGTGGCGGCACGCCGCCGCCATGGGCGCGGGTGCCAACCCACAGGCCTCCGACGTTGGCCGCGGCCGCGGCGCGCCGCGCCCGCGCCGCTGCGGCCACGGCGCCCGCCGCCGCCGCGCCTGGGAGGACAACTGTACCGCCACTCCCCGGACCTCTGCCGAGGCAGAGTTCTGGCCAGGAGCCCCCAGGCGAGCCCAGCCGCGGCGACAAGGGCCTCCCAGAGGGGCAACGAGGGGGGAGGATAGGGATAGGGGGGAAGCATCGACCTGGAATCGGCGATGCATCGCCGATAGATCGGCGACGGGCCTGCGATAGTGAATCCGCACCTTCCTCGGCGGGTTGGGACTATCGGGGCCTTATCGGCGATCAATGGGCGATTGGGGGTCGATACGTCCCCCCCTCTCCCCCTATTGTTGCCCCCGACTCCCGGGAGGCCCCAAATATCGCCAGAGAGGCGCACACGAGGGCAGGGCAGCGGTGTCGGTGCCTCCTCCTGCTCCTCCTGCTCCTCCTGCTCCTCCTGCTGGAGAGAACGCTGGCCTCCGGCGCCGGGCCGCGGGCGTCCGACGCCGCCGCGGGGGGGTGGCGAAGGGCCGGCGGCGCGCAGGGCGATCGGAGCTCGTTTTAGGTCGGGCATGTCCTCCTACAGCCGGATTTCGGATGAACAATTCAAAACGGGTACAAAACATCCAGCCCACAAATAAGCAAAAATAGCCCAACAGATCGTCCAAAAATCGTCCCCTTGTCATTTTACTAGTTTTGATAGCCCTCCTGTAGAGGGACAGGCCAAACGTACGGCTCGTTATAGAAGCCCCCCAGATGGTCCGAGCAGATGTCGGCGGCGAGCGAGGGTCGGGGATCTACTGACCCAGATCTGGACTCCGCCGGATCCTGGAGGATCCTGCGGGATCCTGCAGGATCCTGCGCCCAAGCCTGGGCCGGTGCACCCCTGGCTCTGCAGGGCCCTGCTGGATCTGGCGCGCTGACGGACCCCCGGCTGCAGGGACCGCCCGGAGAGAGGGGGAGAGTCCCTCCAGCCTTGGGCCTTCGGAGGAGCTCAGGAGAACCAGCAAAACGGGACAACGTGACGTCATGCAGCTCAGACTCGGGTCGCAAAAGAGAGGACGTCGAGACGTGGGCAGAGGGGATTCAACGTACAACAGGAGGAGTTTGACATCTGACTAGACTACGAAGTTCAGGGCTCGAAAGTGGAAGCTTGCTGGAAAGCTCCTGCCCACAAACATGCGTAAATCGTGGTGCAAGGTGCCGTTCTGGAACTCCGTCCGCAATCAGAGCACGAGGGCTCGCATTGGTCGTCCGGCCAAAGGTGGACGAATCGTTTCGCGGACATGTGCGGAAAAATGTGGACAGACACGGCACGGGACGAAGCGGAAAGGGCCGAACTTGAATCATGTTTCAGTGCACTGAATATTGAGCACGCGGCCACTGCGCAAGCGGCCCCGCCTGTAACCCCGCTCGCGTGTCCTTCGTCGTCCCTCTCGTCGTTCGTCCCTCCCTCTCCTCTTCCTCGGCCTCGCGTCCCCGCTCGTCGTGCGCCCCTCACTGCTCTCGTGCGTCTTTCCAGCTCCCCCCTGACCGTGTTACGGTAGAGGGAAACAATTGCTGGATACTCCCCCCCTCCCCCCCAAACTCAACGTTGGCACGCGCGGGGGGGGCTGCGGTCGAAGTGCATCTCTTCAGACCCACCGCCAACTTTGAACATTGGGGGGAGGGGGAGGCGTTGACGGATGAATGTGGCACGAGTGTTCGCTAATTGTTCCGAAGCCTGTAGCTGTCTCCTGAGTGGCTCTTGCAGCAACAGAGAGAGTCGTCGGGGCTACATGCTCGAACCCTGTCCCTCTGTTCGCTGCGTGCAGGCAGGCCCGCCTGCCTGCACGCAGCCGACCGCCCTCCCCATACCTGGGGGCCAGCGGTCAGTGTCCGACTGTGTTGGGAGCGCTCGCTCGCGCATGGGAAAGGCTTAGAGCACTTCTCAAAGGCTGGGGGATTTCCGAGCCTTCTGAGAAGGCCCACCCCTTCTCACTCCCCCCCCCCTCGCTCGCCGCCGAAGATAGGGGTCGGAGGTGTCAAACGTCGACTGTCGAACATAGGGGGCTGCCCTGGGCCGGAAGGTGCTCCTAGCTCTCTGCCGGCCACCCAGGAAGCCCCAGCGGCACCACCATCACCGAGATCGGTCATGAGCGGCGAACATGTCCGTATCCGCGGGCTGCCTCCATGGAGGCCCCCACAGATGGGGTCCGAGCAGGAGAGGTCGGAGGATCGCGTCGCATCGGCAACGTCGGCGTGGCGAAGATCGGGCTCCACATCGAGCCACATGGCTGGCGAGGATGAGGAGGAGGAGGAGGAGGAGGAGGAGGGGGAGGGGGGGGGAGGAGGAGGAGGAGGAGGAGGAGGAGGAGGAGGAGGAGGAGGAGGAGGAGGAGGAGGAGGAGGAGGACCAGTGTAAACCCAAGAGTCATCAACGATATTTGAAAAAACCCTCCCTCCAAGCTCCCTCTTCATAGGCCCCTACAACGGTTCATTTCCATTGAGGCATCTGCCTCGTTGGAAGACACCCGTCTGAAGAGTTTGAAGCATGCCAAAACATTGTTCTCGGGCTTCCAACGCCACGGATCAACCTGAATGTTACGTCTTGACGATCCTGAATCGTGCCAAAACGCCAATCTTGGGACTTCAACACCGCGAATCAACGTGATTGTTGCACCCCGCATCATTCTAAATCCTTCCACAACGCAATTTCTGGCACGTTGATCAAGGAGATCCGTGAAACTGTTGCAATTGTTATACAAAAAAGGATGTGCGCGGCGCTAAGGCGAGAGCCACATCCGACCTCAATCCGTGAAGCTCTGGCAAAAATGTAGAGCTAGTGTACGCGGCGCAAAAGCGAGAACCACATTTTGAGAACGGTTTGTCCTCAATCCGTGAAACTTTTGCACAGTGGTAAGACGAATATGCGCGGCGCTAAAGCGAGAAACACATGTTGAAAATGGTTTGTCCTCAATCCGCGAGACTCTTGCATTTGTACAACGAACGCGCGCGGCGCCAAAGCGAGAGCCACATGTTGAAAACGGAATGTCCTCAATCCGCGAAGCTCTTGCAATTTGTTTAAACCATTGTGCGCGGCGCTAAGGCGAGAGCCTCTTCTTGGAAGCCACCCGCCCTCCATCTGTGAAACTGTTGCCAATTCTTAAGCTTGAGAATCAAAAATGGTGAGGACGTCTCATGCGAAACGCCCGGCCCGCCCTAAATATTGGCCTCGCGGTGCGACAGGGAGAAATAAATTATAAGGGAAAGGAACGGAGGATGGGGGGGAGGAGGAGAAGGAGGAGGAGGAGGAAGAGGAGGAGGAACCCCATCCACCTCGGACCTCATCTAGTCGGGGCTGATTGGACAGGACACGCGAGACCCTTCCGAGGGCCACATTGCCACAGGAATTTAGAAGGCATGGGCCGCGAAGCACAGGACACCAGGATACCCTTGATTTGGCACGGTCGACTTCCTAATCAGCCTCGACTGCATCGGAGATGTGTCGTCGATTTCAGGTTGACGGTTCCACACCTGGGCCAGTCCCCAATCCCCAGGAGGCTTTCAGTTGTAACGCGGGCCTCCGGAGGCCGCTCGGGACGATGCGGGCAACCTTTGACGCGCCTCGGCGAAACGCGGGCGCTGAAAGGTTTCCCGAAGCTGGGAAGCCACCAAGAACCAACGAAAACGTCCGAGAACCTCGAGCCCCGAACTCAAAGCCCTGTGGCCCCCCGCCCCGACGTTGCCCCGCATATGATCTATATGGTCGATGCTCCTCCCCTGGACTATTTCACTATTTGGTGACTATTTGGGAATTTTCCTCCTGTAGAGGGTCAGGTTTAGAAAGTCCAGGGTTCGCTAAGGATTGGCTCCCTTTCAAAATCACCGAAACCTTCCCGAAACCCTCCGAAACCCCATCCAGAAAGGGTTCTGGGAGGGTTCTCGTAAGGTTTCGGGGGGGTTCTGCAAGGGTTTTCGTCGTTTTGGGGGGGGGGGGGGGGGGGGGAACCAGTCCCTAGCGAACACTGGGCTGTCGAAGGACAGGCCCGACTTAACCTTGGCCCCGCCCGGCCCGGCGCGCCGCCCAGCTCGACGGCCCAGCCAGGCATGCGACGGCGGCCGAGGC